ATTGAAGGGTATAATTGGTAAAATTAATAACAACGAGGGTATAAATAACTTTGTTTTAACGGCAGATATGTAGTCAAGTAATAAATTAAAGTTGAGAGTATTTTTGACCCTTTTCCCTATAATTTATCATCAATTCATTATTTTAAACGAGAAAACATGTCTTTTTATTTGTCTATTTTCTATTAATTTAAATCAGACGACATCTTGGTTCTTACATGAAGAGACGTGTTTTTTTTATTTATGTTTGTTTACTGTTGATTTAATTAACTTTACTTTTAAGGGTTGTACATGGAAACATTGGAAAGTAATAGTTGAGTATTATTGTTTTTTCTAATTATTATAAGTAATATCCTAAAATAATTTGGTTTCTAGAAACTATTTGGTTAAATTAAGAAAAAAAGTAAATTATGTTGTTTAATTTAAATGGGATGTTATCTATTTTTCACTAGTCAAATCAACTTAATTATTTCTGGTAAAAAATATATTAGCACTCAATTAACAGTTAACATGTTGTTGTCTTGTATGAATTCGCTACGGGTTAAGGGACGAAGCCTCTTGACAAAATTAGTAACATATGTGTTAATTAGTTTTCATGTCTTATTTCATTTTACCATACTAATTATCTTTTTTTTTTATCCAGTTTCATTCATCCATCACGAAGAATCTATCTTTTTTGTAATATTTTTCTAATTTATTTGTGTATAACTTATTAGTACCATCTTAAACGAAAAGACGTATCTTTTCATTTGTCTTTTTTTTAGAATTTTTTAATTTTTTTTATGTATAATTCATCACCATTTTAAATGAAAAAATATGTTTCTTTTCATTTATCAATATTATATGGGAAAAGGGTCAAAATACCCCTCAACTTTAGTTTATTAGTTGACTGTACCCCTACCGTTAAAGCAAAGTTATTTATACCCTCGCCGTTACTAATTTCACCATATATACCCCTCAATTGACGGTAATCCCCATTACAAACAAAATTGATCCGATTTCTTAAAAAATAACCCACTCCCCATTTTAAACCCATGCCCAACCCATTTATCTAACTTAAACCCAAAAAAATTTAACTCATTTTCTATACCCATTCTCAAAAAAATAATTATTTGGAGCTACTGTCATGATAATTCTTCAATTGTGTTTCTCCAATTCTGCCATGATTCTTCATTTGCTCTTCATTTGAACTTTATTTTTTCTTTATCAACAATGAAGCAACCAAGAAATACTAGAAAATAAACGAAAACAAACAATCAATAAATTTTATTTGAAAAAATAAAATTTTACCAGAGAAATAATTTTGTTGATCGGATTTAACATTAACAGGGAAGAGGGAGATGTGGCGTGACTTCAAAGACATTGTCGAGCAGCAACTAAAACACAAAAACTGATCAGATCTGAGCACTTTTAGACTAGTATGATGACTCTATTAATGGAGAAAAGAGAAAAAGGAGAGCGCCATCGTGGTCGGCCATGGCCATTCCGAAGCTAACCATCGTCGCCGGAGCTCGAAGCAGACATGGATTTTACCCAAATAATTACAACAAAAAAATTAAACCTAAAAGAAAATTCACAACCCCCACCCCCTGTTTTGTCTTCCTCAAAGACCCTGCCCATTTGCAGAAACATTTGCACACCCCATCCTCCCCTCTAATTTTCTTCTCCAAACTCTCCGATTCCTTTTAGTGCACACACCTACACACTATTTCTTTTTCCATCATTTTAGTGTAAGTAAGATTCCCTATTGTAAAAATTTAACTTTGTAAGGAAATTGGTGAAGTAGGTATATGTGCTTCTCACAAAGATGGCTGTTTTTTGCAGTCATGAGAAGAGGCAGTGATGATGTTCACTTTTTGCTGGAATTTGGAGAAAAAAAAAATTAAAAGGAAGAATAAAAAAAGTTGTAGAAATGGTGGCTAAAGGGCAAGGAAAATGTTTTTTTTTTAAAGATAGATTGATGGGTCGGACATGGGTTTAAAATGGGGTATGGGTCATTTTTTTAAGAAATCGGGTCAATTTTGTTTAATTTGGTAATTTTCGTCAATTGAGGGGTATAAATGGTGAAATTAGTAATGGCGAGGGTATAAATAACTTTGTTTTAACGGTAGAGGTATAGTCAACTAATAAACTAAAGTTGAGGGGTACTTTTGACCCTTTTCCCATATTATATTGATTCAAATCACACAACTTCTTACCCCCTTAAGTGAGGAGATGTGTCTTCTCATTTCTATTTGTTTACTAATAATTTAATTAACTTTCTTTTTGAGGATTGTATCAAAAAAGTAAAAGATTTTTCTAATTACAAGTAATTTCCTAAAATAATTTGGTTTCTAGAAAGTATTTAGTTAAATTAAGAAAAAGTAAAATATGTTATTTAATTCAAATTGATTTTTTATAGATTTTTCACAAATAAAACTAGCTTAATTATTTATGGTAAAAATTTTATTGACACTCAATTGACATGTCCTAGTGCATTATTTTAATGCTGATAGCAATGGAGAATTTTCCAAATGAGAGGCTAGAAGCACTTATTTGAGAAAAATACATTTTTGTTAAAAAAATTGTGTTTGGTAAATCAATAAAATTGTTTTTAATTAAAAACATAAGTAATTTTCTATTGTTGGGGAAAAAACTAAAAATTTCTTCTTCTTAAAAAATGCAGAAGCAAAAACAAAAAATTATTTTACTCAAAACTAAAATTTCTCATATATATATATATCAATAAATCTCTTATTAATTAATTGACATATCTCATAAGTCTGGTTAAATTTCATATAAGAATTTTATTTTACGTTTATAAATTATTATTTTATACTTCTCATATTATTTTAAGTATAATTTTATGGAATTAGAAAAAAAGATAATAACAATATTTTTGTAAGGTTAAAAAAAAGAGAAAAAATAACAATTAAAGATTTCAACCCTTCCAATATATATATATATATATGCTAAATGACCAGAAAATTTGGCCAGAATTTGGCCAGAAATTTATAAAGTCTATAATATATTTTTTATTTTAAAATAAACTGATCTTTTTTTTTCATTTTTTAATTAAAATGTATTAAAGTTAAAAGAGTATATAAAAATGTTCAAAAAGATAAAATAACATAGTGTGAAATATGTTATTTTACCATTCTGGCCAAAACTTCTAGCCAAAAGGATTTTTCATATATATAATATTGATTGAAAATTTAAATATGTACATTTTAATTTAATAAAAATAGATATTTAATTAACTTTCAAGCTTTCAAGTTTCAAGGGTAAAAAGTTTCCCATTCAGGTGTAATATGAAGAAAAGTATTCATTTTCACAAACATAAACATGTTTTCTGTTTAGTAGTACATAAAAAAGGATCAAAATTAAGATGACTAATTAGTTTTTTTTCTCAAAAATAAATCTTATTTTGAAATCCATTTGAAGTCATTAAAACATCATTTCACACTTTTGTGTAACAAGTTTATAACGAAAAAATAACACTACTTTACAATGAATGTTTATTGGTGTTGGACCTCTACCAACTTAAAATTAAAAGGAAAAATGGTCTGATATGCTCCTTAACTTTGTCATTTAGAGCATATATATTCGTTGTTATGAAAATAGTTCATATATACCCATATTGTTATATAAATAGCTCTCATTTATTCTTTTCCTCTAATGGAAGTGAAATAATAAATTTTAATTTAATCTTTTAATAATTTTTTTGAAAAAAATATAATCCATATGGCATTTTTTTCATTTTTTTTTTCATATGGGCATATTTGATCCTCCTCGCACGTATTTTTTTTTCTTTTTTTGTTTCAACTACTAATTTAAATTTATTATTTTGATGGTCAAATTTATTTATGTTTCACTAATTTTCTTGTAAATTTATTATAGATGCTCATTTTAAATGTATTTTCACAAATACAAAAACTAAATTATAATATAGCCACAAAAAAAAAATTAGTTTTAAATTTTTTCTTTACACTAAAGAATGAAATAAAAAAGAACAAGAAACTAGAATAATGATAATCAAAGAAGTAAAAAAATAATTTGTGGATGAAAAAGATTAAAATATACCTTGAACTTTGTTAGAAGGATCATATATATACTCCTACATGAATTTTTTAAAATTTAAAGTAAAAAAAATAAATTTAAAACTAATTTTTCACTTCCGTTAGGTGAAGGGTATATGAATCTGAGCTCCTTTTGTAATGGTAAGGGTATATGCGAGCCAATTGTGTAACAGTGAGGGTATATATGAGCCACTTTTAATTATAACGAGGTATATCAGCTCTAAATGGCAAAGTTGAGGGGTATATTGGTCCTTCCCCAACTAAAATAAACCAAAATGATAACTTACTTATAAATGTCATACGTAAATTTTGAGAAAGAGAAAATAGTAAATTTTATTCGAAAATTAGAGACAATGATGTTAGATTTCATGAAGTTTTTCTTAGCAGTTAACAAACAAGACAACAATTGTGAATTTTGTTAGTCACATGGAGTTCACAGTAAAAATTAACACTTTTTAATTTTATTTTATAAATCTATAGATTTAGGCTAAATGACCAAAATGAACACCTTTTGTTATACGTTAAAACAATTTCAATAAGGTGAAATATATTAAGAACAAAAAATACATATTTTATTAAACATAAGGACCCTTTAAATAAAATGAAATATATTTATAAACCAAAGTAAAGCATTATCCATATTTTTTAAATATAAGCTAATTTGAGATCCTTTTGGTATATTGCTTACTTCCAAATTTGAATTACTATATAATCACAATTCACAAGTTAAACTTGGATATAAAATAAATGATTTTCTTCTGAAGATTTAATTGCATTCCATATATGCCCATAGAATTTTGGAAACGAAATATAGAAAAAAAATAATTTCAATAGATATCTGATTTTCTATCTCTCTCTATAAATTAACATTTTCACCAAACCTTAGAAGCATCCCAAATTTCAAAACAAATCTTACTTCTTGAAGAACAAAACGAAATAAGGAGAATGGGAACAGGGAAGAAGAAGATAGAGATCAAAAAAATCACAAAGAAAACTGCTAGAATGGTGGCATTTTCGAAAAGAAGGAAAGGACTTTTCAAAAAAGCTGAAGAGCTTGAATCCTTGACAAGTTCTCATGTTACCTCTATTGTTTTTTCACCTTTTGACAGGCCTTATACTTATGGAGATGTCAACTCTGTTATAAAAAGGCATTTTCCTAGCTGTATTCGCCCAGAAATGTCAACACCAGTGATGAATTCTCATCATTCCTCTTCTGATGTTTTTGGCGAATCTTCGGGGTCAAAATTATCATCAGCCCCAAAGGGGAATGGTCTCCGCAGTTGGGTGGAGGATATAGATGTAGAAGGATGTCAAAATTTGAATCAACTATTAATGTTGAAGGAGCAATTGGAAGGAACCAGAAAGAAAATTGTTTCCACAGATTCTGAATCATTTCAAGCTTTGTTTATCTAGCATGTTTCAATAGAATAAGTGGTCTAAAAATAGAGCATGAGCATATTTAAAAAATAATTAGATTGTACTATTGTTAAAATGCAGTGCAGAATCGAAAGGAGATTATGATAAGTTTTTTCCATTGTATGTTTTAATTATTTAGATTTATCATATAAATGAGCATTGAGTGAATTTTATAAATCAACTATTTCGTTATTGTAGTTTCAAAATTGATGTTTCATTTGTGAAAATCATTTGTTTTCATCAACCAATTTCACTCTTAAGTAGTTCACTTTTCAAAGAAATGTGTTATATGTCTGACGTATATTCTGAAAAATTAACCCATATGTGTTGAAAGGGCTGTCTTAACCCCTAGGTCACTAATTTCATTGTTTGAGGGCAAAATACATATATATGTATTAAAAAGATAAATAAAATACTTCTATTTTTAAATAAAAAACAAATGGGTAAGAATAAAAATAAAATTCATAGTGTCTTTAGTTTCCACTTTTCTAGAGGAATGGAAACATTTGGGAATATTTTTCTTATGTGAAATATTACATAGAGATCGAAAAAATCACAAAGAAAACTTCTAGAACAGTCACATTCTCAAAAAGACGGAAAACATTTTCAAAAAAAGCTAAAGAATTTGTATTTATGACGGGTTTTCATGTTGCCTTGGTTTTTTTTTTGATGACAAGGGAAACCCGCAGCAGCTACCCTTTGGGTGCGCACAAGGTAAAACCCCCGCTCCTATGCAATAGCTCGCAAACCACATAGGAGAGGTAACCCAGACTAGGCAAACCTAGTGCGACGAACTCGACCCAGAAGGCAAACCGCAAAGGCAAGGGGTTTCGAACTTGAGACCTCCAACATGGAAGTCCCAAGCTCAAACCACTGGGCCACCCCTTGCCTTAGTTGTTTTTCACTAACCGAAAGGCCTTATACTTGTGGAGACATTCATTCCGCTATAAAAAGATATTTTTCTAGTACTAGATGTATAAAATTATTAACTTTAGGGCTAAATTCTCATTCTTCTGATTCTGACTCTGATTCTGATGTTATTGTTTATGGCGGAAATCATCGTCAATCTCGAAGAGGACTCTGTAGGTGGAGAGTATAGATATTGAACAATATCAAAATTTGAATCAACTCTTAATGTTAAAGCAACAATTGGAAGGAACAAGATAAAAGATTGTTTCCATTGAAGTTGTTGAGTCGTTCTGTATTACCTTTTGGTGATGATGTATTAATTATAATTTTTTAAGTATAATCAATTTATTTTTGTTGATTTTAATGAAAAAAAATTGGAAATGCAAGCTTCACACAACAATATAATATATATAAATAATACATAAAGTAATATATAATAATAATAATATAAAACATAAATAAATAAAAATAAAAAATAAAATTCTTGAATAAAAATTAACCATACTTATGAGATATGTTAATTAATTAATAAGATATATACTGATAAATATGTACATATGTGAGGGATATTTTAGCCTTAAAAAAAATTAATTTTCTATTTCTGCTTCTGGTTTTTAAAAAAAAATTCTTCCCAAGCAGAAAAACAACTTGTACTTCCATTTAAAAATCAGTTTTAAGAATTTGTCAAATACTTAATGGACTCTTAATAAGTTTCTTTTGAAACTATTAAATCATTTCTAATATGAACAATTTTCTTCCTTCAATTGTAGTAATAAATTAAGAAAGATTTACATAAATATACTATATTAAGAAAATATTTAGTACCATTTATAGCAATGTCATTTTTTTTTACTTGATTACTTTTAATATATTTATAATACAATTTTAAGACATATTACAAAGAACAATTTATAAAACACATAATACAAGTTTTATTGATGAATAATATATTTATCACACATTTAATACACTTATAATACAATGTGTCAATTTCTTACCAAACAATCATAATATATTTTAAAACAATTATAATACAAATATATTGCATACATAATTCACTTTTAATACGTATTGCAGATTTATCATAATACTGATATATATTGCTATAAATAGTAATAAATAAAAAGTATTGTTAAAATTAATAATTATTTATTGAAAGGTACATATTCAAGTTATTTTTCCATAAATTAACTCTTTTAAAACTTGCAATTAAGAGTCTGTTTGGATTGACTTAAAAAAGTAGAGTAACTTTTAAGTCAAAAGTAAAAAAGTTAAATTGAAATGACTTTTAAATCAAAATATAAAAAGTAGGGGAGACCTACATTTGATTTTTGACTTATTTTAAATCATTTTAAACTTATTTTAAATTTATATATATATATTTGTCAAACACTCCAGAAGTTAAAAACTAATTTAAAAGTAGATTTCATCAACTTTTAAGTCAATCCAAACGCCCTTTATACAAACTACTCCCCCATCCCATTTTATGTGAGGTAGTTTGACTCGACACAGAGTTTAAGAAAGTAAGGAAGACTTTTAAAACTTGTGGTCTAAAATGAATGATAGAAATTTGTGTGGTTGTAAATCATTTCATTAAGAGTAAAATAGACATTTTATAGTTAAATTATTTTAAGTCACGGGACTGAGGGCGTATCATATATTTCATAATATTATCCATATAGTTAAACATTTCTTTAAGAAGTAGAAAAGAAAAATAATATAATTACGATGGCAAAAATAATCACCATTCATAATAAAATATATTATATTATTTATGATGTATCAAAAATACTTCATCAATGATCATTAATAGTAAAAATTTTCCTCAAATCTCCCATAAAAATAAGTTACTCCTAATATTAATGAATTGTGAAATTTTATTCAACCATATAAACATTGCAATCGGAAAAAGAGAGTGAAATGTATAATCCGATAAACAGATGGTACAAATACTGAAACGCAGAAAAATCTCACCACTCTCATGGCTCTGCTATCGTCGAAATTGAAAGGAGTGGTAGTATCTCTGCCGGTGCTGCTCCTCTCCGGCGCCGCCTTTTCCGCCGTATTATTCTTTTTTCTTTTTTCTTCACCACCACCGTGTAATTGCCCTGTCACTCCAACCATCACCACCGTCAGTGGCGGGGGGGGGGGGGGGACCGGCAACGGAGAACATATCTCGACGTCATCAGAGTATATAGAGTGGGTGAAGAAACATAATTTTTGCTGGTTTGACCACTAACTTTTTTAACATAAATGGAATTTTACGGGACATTTTTTTGTATATACATCAAAATTCAGTCAACGTTCCTTGTTTGAGAATGGTAAATAAACAAATTAGGAAAAAAATATAAAAGGCGCTGGAGAAGTTAATTCATTTTTTTATATATAGAGACAGAAAAATAAGGAAACCAATTATGGAAAAGAAAAATAATTTTAGCAGGAAACTACCAATTCATATAGTTTTAGAAATCCTTACCTAAAAGGTATCTGGTTTTCAATCTCTCCTATAAAAAATAAATATATTTACCCCAAAGTTTTAATTTCAAAGCAAAATATATTTCTTGAAGAAGAACCCGAAAGAAGAAAAAGAAACACAGAGGAAATTTAGGAGAATGGGCACAGGGAAGAAGAAAATAGAGATAGAGAAAATTATAAAGGAAACTTCTAGAATGGTTACATTCTCGAAAAGGCGGAAAGGACTTTTCAAAAAAGCTAAAGAATTTGAATCCATGACGGGTTCTCGTGTTGCTTCAATTGTATTGTCACCCACAGGAAGGCCTTATACTTGTGGAGACGTTGATTATGCTATAAAAAGACATTTTTCTAATAGCAGATGTATGGAATTATTAATGTCAGACATGAATTCTCGTGATTCTAATTCTAATTCTGATTTTAATTCTAATATTGTTATGTATGGTGAAACTTCGGGATCGAAATCATCTTCAACTCCAAAGAGGAATAATCTCCGCAATTGGGTGGAGGGTATAGATGTTGAACAATGTCAAAATTTGAATCAACTCTTAATGTTGAAGGAACAATTGGAAGGAACAAAAGAAAAGATTGCTTCCATTGAAGACGTTGAGGCGTTTGAAGCTTTGTTTGTTTAAATGTTTTTAACTTATTTGATTTATATACTTGTACTCTGTTATATATTAGTAATTATATTGGTATTTTTGTTTAGTATGATCAATTTAATTTTATTTATTTAAAGAATGTTGTTGATTCCATAATTTTCGAAAAATTGTGATTTGATTGAGTTTAATTGCAAATTTGAAACCGTAAGCTTCACACAGGGTAATGATTGTAACACTGAGATATTACTACAACAAATAACAATTTAGCGCACATTATTTAACGCTAATAATATAATTCATGCTATATTATATTTAGCGATAATAATAAATATATATTTATAAAACACTTTATATAAATGTTATCAAGATTTTAGTAACTCTATCATAGCATTAGTCGTGCAAATTTTTTATTTAGATCTTCACCATTAAAATACTTCATTATTATTAATTGTTCACTTTTTCTATTTGAAATATTACATGTTCAAATAGAAAATGTGAACAATTGATAATTTAGGTGTATTTTGAAAAACCTCACATATTTGATAATTCAAGTATAAAATTAAAAAAAAAATCAAGATAACTCAACTATGTTTTTGATCATTTCTTTTTGTCTTACTCTTTCAAGTCGTATGAAATCACTAGGCTAACATTATTGTAAAATTTGGATTATTTCTTGATTTGTGAGTGTTATTCTTGTGCAAGAGTCATGTTAATCTTCTCTGTATCGTTTCAATTTTATAGATTGAGAAGTTGAAGCTCCAAAAACTTTAAAAATACAAATAATTGTGGCCACACTTGAAACTAATACAAGGAATTACTATAAACATAAATTTAACTAATTTGAGATCATAATGAGGTTCTTCCCAATTTCATTGTTTTATCGTTATTTTTTTCAATGTATTTGAAACTTAATAAGTTTCTTTTGAAACTATTAAATCATATATAGTATGAACATCGTCAATTATACTAAATTAACTCTTTTAAAGCTTGGAATCAATTTTGTGAACTAACATA